CGAGATCAGCTTGATTCGTTTGTTTTGTTTAGCTTTTGCTTTCGGCGCTTCAATTTCTATTACTTCCTCTGACGCGAAGTTGTTTGTATTAACCCCAGCATAATTTACTTTGTCAAACCTGACAATTATAGGATATTTTATACCACTTTTTTCTACAGTAACAACATTTCCAATTTCTTGATACCAATAAGATTCTTTGCGTAATATTTTAACTTTTGAACCTTTCTGAACCATAAGTTTATATTTACTTTATAAGTCATAATATATATTATATAATATATATATTAATATCAGTTATAAAGTATGAATATTATAATGTTAACTTTTTTTAATGAAATATTTTGTATTACTTTTTTATTGCAAATAGGAGAGAGAGGGATTCGAACCCTCGATACGAAATTTTCGTATTATAGTTTTCGAAACTATTGCTTTCAACCGCTCAGCCATCTCTCCTTACAAAAAAAATTAATTGGTTGCTAAAGATTAGTTTTAATGTTAAATAATAATATAAACAAAATTAATATAGTCTCAGTTAAAGGGATTTAAGCTATGAAATTTTCGTGGAAAAAATTATTATTATGGTTTCTATCTATTATAGGAGTTGGATCTTTAATATGGCAAGGCACAACAACATTATTCCTACCAGAAATAGATAATAATGATATTGATATTGCGACTTCAAGAATGACTTATGGTAGGTTTTTAGAATATCTAGATAAAGGTTTAATAAAGAAAGTAGATCTATACGATGAAGGACATACAGCTATAGTAGAAGCGAAAAGCCCTGATTTAGGAGAAAAAAATCAATTAATTCGCGTTGAATTACCAGCAGCGACATCAGAGTTTATAAACAAATTAATTCAAAAAGATATAGATATAGACGCACATCCTTCAAATGATAATACAATCATATGGAACATATTAAGTAATTTAGTTTTACCTGTTCTATTTGTTATAGGGTTAGCTTTTTTATTTAGAAGATCTGGTAGTGTACCAGGAAGTCCTGGTCAAGCAATGAGCTTTGGAAAATCTAAAGCACGTTTTAATATAGAAGCTAAAACTGGAGTTACTTTTGATGATATTGCAGGAATTGAAGAAGCTAAGGAAGAGTTTCAGGAAATTGTAACTTTTTTAAAAAAGCCAGAAAGATTTACTGCTATTGGTGCTAGAATTCCAAAAGGAGTATTACTTGTTGGTGCACCAGGGACAGGTAAAACTCTTTTAGCTAAAGCTATTGCCGGTGAAGCAGGTGTACCATTTTTTAGTATTTCTGGATCTGAATTTGTCGAAATGTTTGTAGGAGTGGGAGCATCTAGAGTAAGAGATCTTTTTAAAAAAGCTAAAGAAAATGCACCTTGTATTGTATTTATAGATGAAATTGATGCTGTCGGTCGACAAAGAGGTACAGGTATCGGTGGAGGAAATGATGAAAGAGAACAAACTCTTAATCAACTACTAACAGAAATGGACGGATTTGAGGGGAATACAGGTATAATTGTTGTAGCCGCAACTAATAGAATTGATGTATTAGATGTTGCTTTATTAAGGCCTGGACGTTTCGATCGTCAAATTACAGTAGATCTACCTGATTTAAAAGGAAGAATCGCAATTTTAAAAGTTCATTCTAAAAATAAAAAACTCGCTCAAACAATATCTATAGAAAGCATAGCAAGAAGAACACCGGGTTTTTCAGGCGCAGATTTAGCTAATTTAATGAACGAAGCTGCTATTTTAACTGCTAGAAGAAAAAAAGATTCTATTACTATGTCAGAAATAGATGTTTCAATTGATCGAATAATTGCTGGTCTAGAAGGTAGGGTTTTAACAGATAGTAAAACTAAACGTTTAATTGCCTATCATGAAGTTGGTCATGCTATTATTGGTACTCTACTAAAAAATCATGATCCGGTTCAAAAAGTAACTTTAATACCAAGAGGACAAGCTAAAGGTTTAACTTGGTTTACACCATCAGAAGAACAAACTTTAATTTCAAGAGGACAAATTTTAGCAAGAATAATTGCAGCATTAGGAGGAAGGGCCTCAGAAGAAGTTGTTTTTGGTAATCTTGAAATTACTACAGGTGCAAGCAATGATTTACAACAAGTAACATCTATGGCAAGACAAATGGTAACACGATTTGGTATGTCTAATATTGGACCATTATCTCTTGAAAATCAAATTAGTGATCCATTTTTAGGTCGAGGATTTGGTTCTGGATCTGAATATTCTGAAGATATAGCAAGTAGAATTGATAGACAAGTTCGTTCTATCTTAAATTATTGTTATAAGGAAGCTTTAAAAATTATAAAAGATAATAGAATAATTATAGACAAAATAGTCGATATTTTAATTGAAAAAGAAACTATAGAGGGTAATGAACTTAGAGAGATTATATCCAAGTACCAAAAACAAAAAGAAATATATACGCAGAAAAGTCCAACACTAATATTATAACTAATTTATTTAATTATAAATATATAAATAACGAGATTGACGGGACTCGAACCCGCAACTTCCGCCGTGACAGGGCGGTGCTCTAACCGATTGAACTACAATCCCAGATTAATCTAGTATAACATATAAAATACATATTTTATATATTATAGGAGAGAGAGGGATTCGAACCCTCGGTACAAATAAAATGTACGACAGATTAGCAATCTGTTGCTTTAGACCACTCAGCCATCTCTCCTTTTGCCGATGGAGTTAAGCGGATTTGAACCGCTAGCCTTCTCGATGCCATCGAGACACTCTGCCTGTTGAGTTATAACCCCTCAATATTTACTTTATTAAATAAGCGCTTTAGCTTAGGTAGGAATTGAACCTACGACCTTGGGCTTATGAATCCCCTGCTCTATCCACTGAGCTACTAAGCCTTATTGAGAATATGATAAGATTATTTTATAATATATATAAGATAAATAATCAATGTTTACTATTAATATATTGATTTGAAGAATTAACTAGCATTGAACCGATACCTTGATCTGTAAAAATTTCTAATAATAAAGCATGAAAAACTCTACCATCAATTATATGTGCAGCTGGTAGTCCTTTAGCTAAGGCTCTCATACAACAATTAACTTTAGGAATCATTCCTCCTGAAATTTTTCTTTTTGTAATTAAAGATTTTATATCTTCTATGTTTAATAGCCTAATTAAACTATCATTATTATTTATATCATTTAGAATACCGGCCGTATTGGTTAGTAATATTAATTTTTCTGCATTAATAGATACAGCAATTTCACCAGCAACGGTATCTGCGTTAATATTATATGATTTACCATCTAAATCTGATCCTATGCTTGCAATTACAGGAATATATCCCGCGTTGATTATAGTTTTTATAATATTTGTATTTATGTGTTTAATTTTACCTACCAAACCTACTTCTATATCTTCTTCACTTTCACATTGAATTAGTTTTCCGTCTTTACCAGTTAAACCTACGGCATAAGATCCTTGTTTATTAATTAAACTAACTATTTCCTTATTTATTTTTCCAGCTAATACCATTTCCACTATCTCAATAGTATTTGAATCTGTAATTCTAATACCATTTTTAAACTTTGATTTGATATTAAGCTTCTCTAACCAAGAATTAATTTCTGGTCCCCCGCCATGAATTAAAATTGGTTTTATTCCAACATGTGATAACAGTATTATATCATTAACAATAGACTCTTTTAATTTATTATTAGTCATTATTGATCCACCATATTTTATGACAATAGTAGAGCCCGCAAATTTTTGTATATAAGGTAATGCTTCACTCAATATTTGTACTCTATTTAAATTATTTACTGATTGATCTATATTAAAATGATTATTATTCATATTGTTTTGTTTTTTATACTTTATAAAATTAATTCTAATGATCATTGATAATTTACTACGTTTTGTTAGATTTTTTTTTAGCATTATAATAGGTCTAATTTTAACTATTTTACAACCTATTATAAATATTTATAATACACCTTTTAATTTAAAAAAATTTATAAGTATAGCTCTAATAATATTATTTATCATATTTATAATTATTACATTAAAATCTATGTTAAATTTAACATAGTAGAATCTTATCTTTAAATAAGAGGTTATACTAGATGATAAATCATAAAACAAATGGAGCTTTTGCTTTAATAGACAGTTTAGTAAGACATGGTGTGAAACATATTTTTGGCTACCCTGGAGGAGCTATTTTACCCATATATGACGAGTTATATTGTTGGGAACAAAAAAACTTAATTTCTCATTATTTAGTAAGACACGAACAAGCTGCAGCCCATGCAGCTGATGGTTATTCAAGAGCTACAGGTAAAGTGGGTGTTTGTTTTGCTACTTCAGGACCTGGTGCAACTAATTTGGTAACAGGAATAGCAACAGCACAAATGGATTCGATACCAATTGTAGTGATAACAGGTCAAGTAGCTCGACCATTTATTGGAACAGATGCTTTTCAAGAAACAGATATATTTGGTATAACATTACCAATAGTAAAACATTCTTATGTTGTACGTAATCCGAGAGATATGTCAAGAATAGTGGCAGAAGCTTTTTATATTGCTAAGCATGGTAGACCAGGACCTGTTTTAATTGATATTCCTAAAGATGTGAGTTTAGAAACTTTTCATTATATTCCTACTAATCCTAATGAAATAGATCTACCTGGATGTAGACAAATCCCTCAAACTAGTTATAAACAAATAATACAAGCAGTATCTTTAATACATGAATCAAATCAACCTCTTCTCTATGTAGGAGGAGGTGCTATATCTTCAGACGCTTATAAAGAGGTAAAGTTATTAGCAGAATATTTTGAAATTCCTATTACTACAACTTTAATGGGAAAAGGTATTATAGAAGATACTCATCCTTTATCTTTAGGTATGCTAGGGATGCATGGAACTGCATATGCCAATTTTGCAGTAAGTGAATGTGATTTATTAATTGCTTTAGGTGCTAGATTTGACGATAGAGTCACTGGAAAATTAGATGAATTTGCTTGTAAGGCCAAAGTAATACATATTGATATTGATCCTGCGGAAATAGGTAAAAATCGCATACCTCAAGTAGCAATAATAGGAGATATAAAATATGTTCTAAAACAAATTTTGGCATATGTTCAACAAGAATGTCAAATTGATAAACAACAAACTCAATCTTGGCTTGAAAGAATTAGACATTGGAAAGAAGATTATCCATTAAGTTTTAATGAAGATAGTTCTCAACTATTGCCTCAAGAAGTTATTAAGAAAATAAATTATATTAATAATAATATTAGTTTTTTTATTACTACCGATGTAGGACAACATCAGATGTGGGCTGCACAACTTATTAATACAGGTCCTCGTAAATGGATCTCTAGTGCAGGACTTGGAACAATGGGATATGGACTGCCTGCTGCTATTGGTGTACAAATTGCTTATCCTGACTCAACAGTTGTATGTATTACAGGTGATGCAAGTTTTCAAATGAACTGCCAAGAATTATCAACCATAGCTCAATATCAATTACCAATAAAAATTATTATAATAAATAATTTTTGGCAAGGCATGGTTAGACAGTGGCAACAGGCATTTTATGGAGAAAGGTATTCTCATTCTAATATGAATCAAGGAATGCCAGATTTTGTACAATTAGCTAAAGCGTTTGGAATTAAAGCAATATGTATTAAAAATAAATATGAGTTACATTCTTCATTTGAAAAGTTTTTTTCTATAAAAGAACCTATTATTATAGATTGTCACGTTAGTAAAGAAGAAAATTGTTATCCTATGGTAGCTCCAGGTAAAAGTAATTCACAAATGATAGGTTTAATCAAACAATTGAAGAAAAATACTTTATTTATAAAAGATGAAAAGTTTATTGAATCTTAGACTTAGATAATATTTATGAATTTTTAATTTTGATTGTATAAATTCGTTAATTTGTTTATGTTGTTATATAAAGAATAATGGGCTATTAATTTTTTTCTTGATTTTTTACTTAATAATCTTCTTATCTCGTTATTATCTCTTAATAGAGGTAATAAAATTTCCAATTGAGAAATAAGTTTTTTATAAGAAATAAGAATACCATTATCTGGACGTAAAACAGTTTGGCTTGAACCACTATTTGTAGAGATACATGCTAATTGAGATGACATAGATTCTAACAAAGAGATTGACAAACCTTCTATTAATGAAGAAAGTAAAAAAACATTACTAGACTTTATTAAATTGATTTTTCTTAATTCATTATTTATACATCCCATCCATATAAAACCTTGTTCAGGTTTATATTTATGCATTAGTTTATAAACTAAGGGACCATTACCAATAATTAATAATTTGCAATTTATTCCCATTTTGTGATTGACCCAAACTTTTAATATTTTTTCTAAATTTTTTTCAGGAGAAATTCTGCCTTGGTATAAAAAAATACATTTACATTTTAAATATTCTTTAAGTGATACTTTAATGTATTCATACCTTTTATAATTAACTCCATTTGGTATTCTATATAAAAGGCACTGTGTTAGCCCAAGCTTTTGCATTAATCTAAACTGCAATCTAGAAAAAACAATAATAGAAGAATACTTATATAAAAAAGGAATATAGAATTTATAAACTAATAATTGGCGATGAAAAATTCCTTGAGTATCAATATAGGTAGATTTAAATTGAAATTCATTATATATAGTTTTATTTTGGATCTTGAGAATAGTTTTATAGTTATTAATTAAACAAATATTAAACTTAAAGGCTGGATGAAAAGTTGCGATTACAGGAATATTTAAAATCTTAGCGATTTGAGGTAATATTAAGTCTATAGGCGATAAACTTAAAGAAATATGAATTATATCTGGTGCTAGTGCTTTAATTATACAAAAAATATAAGATGTTGACATGAAAGAAGGGATTGTATATAACTGTGATTGATAAATTGCTTTTAGTGAAATATGTGAATATTTTTTGTTAAACAAACAACTATTATTATAAGAAAAATGTACTAGACTAAATTGATTATTATTTTGTGTTAAATATTTACTTATCTCTTTTGTATAGGTAACATTACCACAAAAAGGAAAAGTTTTACCTATCCATAGTACATGCATCTATTTCTCCTACTTTATATAGTATTAATTTAATTAATTTAAAGAAGTTCAAATTAGTATATTAAAATTTTAAGCCAATGGCGAGAATTGAACTCGCGACCTTCCCCTTACCAAGGGGATGCTCTACCACTGAGCCACAAAGGCATAATTTACTTGGGCCGGGTTGGATTTGAACCAACGTAGGAAAAACCAGCGGATTTACAGTCCGCCCCCATTAACCGCTCGGGCACCGACCCAAATGACGATATCTAGATGTAACAACGGCTGACACCAACGACCTTCACGTGATACTCTAACCAACTGAGCTATACATCTATTAATTAATTTTCCAATATAAGTATATATTATATGTTTTTAATTTATTATTTTATTTTTTCTTTAAGTTTTTTCGCATTACGAATATAAAAAATTTTTGCACGTCTAATTTTAAAATGTTTTAAGATTTTTATGCTAGTAATTTTAGGAGAATGTATTAAATAAATTCGTTCCACCCCTATTCCCTGTAAGGTTCTTCTTATACTGATTGTTGTATTTATGCCAGCATTATGCCTTGAAATGACTATTCCTTCAGAATATTGGATTCTTTCTTTATTCCCTTCTTTTATAAGAACTCCAATTTTTATTAAATCTCCTATTTTTATATCGGGGAGGTTGTGTTTTATATATGCTGATTCTATGTTTTTTATTTGATTATTCATAAATAAGATTTACTGATGTTTCTAAAAATAATATTTTTTCTTATTAAACATAAGATCTATATAATTACATAATTATAAGAAAAATATAATATTTTGTCTATATATTAAATAGATTATTTATCGAATTATATTTAATTATTATTATCAAATTGTATTAAAGATAGATCAGATTTGCATTTGGTAATTTGTCATGTGATGAGAGAGTATGTATGGGTGAATGAAATTGTCGATTGCGGGTAAAGGATGGTAGTGCAACTTTGGTTTGAAATTGTCATGGGGGAGTGT